TGTCATTAGAACAATGAAGATTAGGACAAAACTTATTTCATTTAACAGTAACACTTTACTTGACACCCAGTGTCATAAAACATTATGACACGGTCATAACCTGTCATAATATGGTCATAACACTTTCATTGTGCATATAGTTAGACCTGTTGTGACATACAGTACCAGTCAAAAGTTTGGACACACCTACTCATTCAAGGGTTTTTATTTTTTTTAAATGTCTACATTGTAGAATAATAGAGAAGACATCAAAACTATGAAATAACACATATGGAATCATGTAGTAACCAAAAATGTTAAACAAATCAAAATATATTTTAATGTTTGAGATTCTTCAAATAGCCACCCTTTGCCTTGATGATAGCTTTGCACACACTTGGCATTCTCTCAACCAGCTTCACCTGGAATGCTTTTCCAACAACCTTGAAGGAGTTCCCACATATACTGAGCACTTGTTGGCCGCTTTTCCTTCACTCTGCGGTCCAATTCATCCCAAACCATCTCAATTGGGTTGAGGACGGATGATTGTGGAGGCCAGGTCATCTGATGCAGCACTCCATCACTCTCCTTCTTGGTCAAATAGCCTTTACACAGCCTGTTGGGTCATTGTCCTGTTGGAAAACAAATGATAGTCCCACTAAGCCCAAACCAGATGGGATGGCGTATTGTTGCAGAATGCTGTGGTAGCCATGCTGGTTAATGTGCCTTGAATTCTAAATAAATCACAGACAGTGTCAGCAGCAAAGAACCCCCACACCATCACACCTACCTCCTCCTCCATGCTTTACGGTGGGAACCACACATGCGGAGATCATCCTTTCACCTACTCTGCATCTCACAAAGACATGGCGGTTGCTTTCTTGACTAGACTGCTGACGATACACAAAATTCAAAAGGCAGTAAGGGACATTTCCTCATAAGACCAAATTCAACGTTTCATACATATCTATGTGGTTTTACAAAGAAAAAAAACCTTGTTGGCTATGAGGGTACGTTAATATTCGTAGCTACATCCAATGTAACAAGAAATAGATGACAAAGGTGGTCATGTCAAGAATTTATTCTCAATCACTATGAATGCATGGTGGCTTAGTCTGCTAAAACAGTTGTCTCGTAGTTCAATGGTTGTGAATTCTAATCCCACATGGTGGGGGATGTATTTTTTTCTTCAAATCCTTTATTTACAATATTCATCCCGTGCCCACACCCAATTCTGAAAAGTGAAAGCATACCTGTGAGAGTGGTCACCCTGGTAGTAGATGTAGGTTTTTATACAATACCCAAGACCTACCGATTGGCTCATTCATCCCCCTCCTCTCCCCTGTAACTATTCCCCTGGTTGTTGCTGTAAATGAGAATGTGTTCTCAGTCAATTTATCTCGTAAAATAAGGGTTAAACATCAATCTAAATAAAATACCAATCTGTGAGTTAATTAGATCATCAGAAAAAGAGCTACTGTGTAAATACTGCAATGCGGGTTGGATTGTATTGAGCCCCTAATCTTAATTTTCAAGGTGATGATTGCACTTTTCTTCCCAACACAATACTGCAAAACAATGCGAGTCCATTTCTACAACAAAAAATGTGCGCTATAGGATTTCAACTTAAACCACAAGTGGCTAAATATGTCAGGAATTTGGCACCTTATCACTGTGAGCTAACTGTCCAGAGCTGTACATTCTAGTGACGCACAATTTTATTATCAGGGCGTGCCAGTGGACTTCTGGTAAGTACGCTTTAGTGAGGAAGTGTTGGGATCAGCTACAACTACGTTTACCCACCCCCAAAATGAATATTTAATGAGCAGTTCCCCCCACCCACATCTTCTCACCTGAATGCATATATAAAAAAAATTAATAGGTTGGGCAAAGACTGAAATTGGGGTGGAGAGTTACCCTTTAATGAAACCTCCAAGGAAAACTTTCAAGCAACCAGAGTAAAACGTTCTCAGAACATCCCTGCAACCTAAAAATAAACAACATTTTCACATCCGTTCTCAGAACGTTTTACAAAACGTCAGTTTTACTGGTCAGGAAACTTATGGCTTCGTTCCCAGAACCAAAAGTGTACGCTTCCAAGGAACCAAATGTGCTACCTGGGTTTGGTGTATTCTTCTGGTGTTACTGCAGAATGGAACACAGCAACCCCTGGGCATTTTGGTTTATTTGTCCTGTCTGCTTCACTAGCAAGAAGGCTCTGTGTTCTGGCGGTGACAACGTTAGCTATATCTAGTTAGCTATCTATTTCTATCTATCTGTCTGTCTATATCTATCGATCTATCTCTCGATCTATATATCTATCTACGTGTCTATCAATTTGTAATTTTCTGTTGACAGCATGGGAAAACATTGTGACGGAGTAAAATGTGACGATGTGTTTGTGTCAAGTAGCATTTTACTGGTTGCAGAACAATTGTCTTAACTATAATGCAGATGATTGATGGTGATGACAGTTAACTATTTTAATAATGACACCTCAAACTCATGAAAATAACAAAAACAGAGAATGTCGAAAGTGGCCAACAGTAAGCAGAAATGTTCCATACACAAAAATATAATTTCTCTCAAATTTTGTGCACAAATTTGTTTACATCCCTGTTAGTGAGCATTTATCCTTTGCCAAGATAATCCATCCACCTGATATCTGTGGCATATCAAGAAGCTGATTAAACAGCTCTAAAATGTGCAGTTTTGTCACACAACACAATACCACAGATGTCAAGTTTTGAGGGGGCGTGCAATTGGCATGCTGACTGCAGGAATGTCCACCAGAGCTGTTCCTCTACCATAAGCCGCCTCCAACTTCGTTTTAGAGAATTTAGCAGTATGTCCAATCAGCCTCACAACTGCAGACCACTTGTCACCACAACAGTCTATGACCTCCACATCCGGCTTCTTCACCTGCGGGATCATCTGAGACCAGCCACCCGGACAGCTGATGAAACTGTGGGTTTGAACAACCAAAGAATTTCTGCATAAACTGTCAGAAACCGTCTCAGGGAAGCTCATCCGTGTGCTCGTCATCCTCCCAAGGGTCTTGACCTGACTGCAGTTTGGTATTGTAACCGACTTCAGTGGGCAAATGCTCACCTTTGATGGCCACTGGCACGCTGGAGAAGTGTGCTCTTCACGGATGAATCCCAGTTTCAACTGTACCGGGCAGATTGCAGACGTATGGCGTCGTGTGGGCGAGCGTTTTGCTGATGTCAACGCCCAATGGTGGCGGTATGGGCAGGCATAAGCTACGGACAACGAACACAACTGCATTCCACCGATGGCAATTTGAATGCACAGAGACACCGTGACAAGATCCTGAGGCCCATTGTCGTGTCATTCATCCACCGTCATCACCTCATGTTTCAGCATGATAATACACGGCCCCATGTCGCAAGGATCTGTACACAATTCCTGGAAGCTGAAAATGTCCCAGTTCTTCCATGGCCTGCATACTCAAGACATGTCACCCATTGAGAATGTTTGGGATGCTCTGGATCAACGTGTACGACAGCATGTTCCAGTTCTTGCCAATATCCAGCAACATCGCACAGCCTTTGAAGAGGGATGGGACAACATTTCACAGGCCACAATCAACAGCCTGATCAACTCTATGTGAAGGAGATGTCGTGCTGCATCTGCATGAGGCAAATGGTGGTCACACTGATTAATGACTGGTTTTCTGATCCCAGCCCTATTTTTTTTTTTACTAACATATGCAGATCTGTATTCCCAGTGATGTGAAATCCATAAATTAGGGCATAATGAATTTATTTAAATTGACTGATTTCCTTATATGAACTGTAACTCAGTAAAATCTTTCAAATTGTTGCATGCTGCGTTTATATTTCTGTTCAGTGTAGATAATGATCATGAGCCGCACTCACCTCAATTTAGCTAACATTTCCCAGCCTTATTGTAACCAAATGGAGATGCAGTGAAAACTAAAATCTGACATTGATTGATTTATCGAGACAAATCCCCATGGTTGTGTCTCAGAGCAGTGCGATCGCGCTTTCCCAATCAAATCGGTGCTGAAATTATTATCTTGTTGACCACACACGGCTATTGGTTTAGCTACATTTATTATAACGAATGGATGACTGTACATTTCAGTAAGCAACAATTTGATACATGCCTTCAATTACATTAGCCTCTTACTGCAATATTTTCGTCATTCAGTGATATTTATTCCCACAGTAATTCTTTATGGATCCATCAAATTTTGGTTAAGAAAACGTGCATGCATAGTGGTGAGCTTTGCGAAGTGATGTACAAAGTGACATCAAAGTTTAGAACTACCACAAGGATGGCAACAGCTTAGTAATGGGCGCAGACTAGCAACCATCATTACAAAGTATAAAATCTCATGAACACAAATTGCTTACGCTGGACTTAGCTACGACTAGTCTTATTTTGGGTTGGTGCAACAGGTGTAGATTCTGATCACAAAGTCGGACACAGCTACGCCCGACCTAGCATTTAAGACCAACTTTTTTTTTGACCCAACTGGTCTAATTGGCCCCTGCTCCCTGTAGTTTCTTTCTGGATTAATATCAATAATCAAAATATCAAACCACTTTATTCATGAGGAATTTATTGTTTTGGGCAATTGATACCAAGAGCTATATAACGAGATCCTTTGTAGAATTGACTTAATCAAAAAAGGTGTAACCGAAATAAAACTAAAATCAGGGAAAGGATGAGAATGAAACTGAAAACAATACAAAAACAAATACCCAGCCCTTCACAGTAGGCCACAATAATAATTAAACAAAAATCCATGAGCGTCTCCTTGCTTTGTCTGTCCCCCCAAACAGGAGTATTAATAATATTAATATCAACATTGATAAAAAAAAATTACAGGTTAAAAAGAGGCCAGCATCGCCTACAGTGGTGCGTGGCAGCTTTGTGTATGTAAGTGTGTGTATGTGTGTGTGAGGGAGAGAGAGACACCAGAGGTTGTGGTGGTAGTAGTAGAGAGCTTTCAGAAAGGTCAGAACGTCTTATGCAGATAGGTCGCTGTTGTCAAAGCGCTCCTGGTCATATACCTCGGCAATGACCTTGCGACCTCCAAACCAGCGATTATTGAGTGCCTGGATGGCCTTGTTCATCTCCGCCGCCATGGAGAACTCCACAAAGATCTTGACAATTACCTCTGCATCATCCTCCTCGCCCTGCTTTTCCTGGTAGATGATGACACGGTTGACCGCGCCAAACTTGCCACACTCCTCAGTCACCTCACCCTCCAGGTCATCGTCGATGTCCTCTGGGCCTACCATGTTCCGCAGCACCATCACCGTCGACTGGGCACATAGTAGAAAAAGTATTATTATTGTACAATGTATTATTAAAACACAAATATGTGTGCTACCAGTGACTTTCTTGATCAGAGAAAACACTGACGGTACAGTTAGTTGCCCACACGTTGTGACTATTATGTTGTGGAAACGTTTTAGTGAATGCAACTTTAGCAGCAGTGTTACTATTGCCTTTGTGGCTCAACTGCGTACTTACAACCCCAACCAGGGCTCCAGACTGTGACCATTTAGTCACATTTTGCAGCACTTTTACTTGGCTGTGCGAGTTCAAGTTTTAATTAGACACAATGGTGCGAGCTGCACATTCTACTTGTCAAAACTTTGGCCGGCTAAAACCATGATTTGGTCAAATACTAAAGTCTATTATCCTCATGTAGGGCTGACGATTGGCCAATAGGGCTTTTGGTCGACCAAGATTTTTTTTTTTGTCGAGCAGTCGCATATATATATATATTTTATATGGCACACGAGACACCTGTCTGATTCACGCCTGTCTCAGTGAACTAATCCATTTGCGGAGGCCGCTGGGATGGCACACCAGTATTCCCAGTAGTATATTTGCCGTTAATTCCCATAATTTCTAATCTACAATATTTGTTTGGTTATGGTAATTTCTGTTAAGGCATTCAATATGTTATTATTACAGTCTTTTACCATTCTCATTGTCGGGAGCCATGCATCCTCCTAAACACGACCCTGCCAAGCCACACTGCTTCTTGACACACTGCTCGCTTAACCCGGAAGCCAGCCGCACCAATGTGTCGGAGGAAACACCGTACAACTGGCGACCGTGTCAGCGTGCATGCACCTGGCCCACCACAGGAGTCGCTAGAGCGCGATGGGACAAGGACATCCTGGTCAGCCAAACCCTCCCCTAACCCGGACAACGCTGGGCCAACTGTGCGTCGCCTTATGGGTCTCCCAGTTGCGGCTGCAGTGCCTTAGACCGCTGCGCCACTTGGGAGGCCACAATGACATTTTTTCTTCACCTCAAACAGCAAGTAAACAAAGTATTTTTACATACAGTGCATTCGGAAAGTATTCAGACCCCTTGTCTTTTTCCACATTTTCTTACATTACAGCCTTATTTTAAAATTGATTTAAAAAAAAAAAATGTGTCATCAAACTACACACAATAAACCATAATGACAAAGGGAAAACTGGGTTTTAGAAATTTTTGCAAATGTACTCAAAATAAAAAACTGAAATACCTTATTTAGATAAGTATTCAGACCCTTTGCTATGAGACTCGAAACGGTTTACCTCAGGTGCATCCTCTTTCCATTGATCATCCTTGAGCTGTTTCTATAACTTGATTGGAGTCCACCTGTGGTAAATTCAATTGATTGGACATGATTTGGAAAGGCACACACCTGTCCATATAAGGTCCCACAGTTGACAGTGCATGTCACAGCAAAAACCAAGCCAAGGGGTCGAAGGAATTGTCCGTAGAGCTCCGAGACAGGATTGTGTCGAGGCACAGATCTGGGCAAGGGTACCAAAACACTTCTGCAGTTGCCTCCATCGTTCTTAAATGGAAGAAGTTTGGAACAACCAAGACTCTTCTTAGAGCTGGCCGCCCAGCCAAACTGAGCAATCAGGGGAGAAGGGCCTTGGTCAGGGAGGTGACCAAGAACCCGATGGTCACTCTGACAGTGCTCTAGAGTTCCTCTATGGAGATGGGAGAACCTTCCAGAAGGACAACCATCTCTGCAGCACTCCACCAATCAGGTCTTTATGGTAGAGTGGCCAGATGGAAGCAACTCCTCAGTAAAAGGCACAAGACAGCCCGCTTGGAGTTTGCCAAAAGGCACCTAAAGACTCTTAGACCATGAGAAACAAGATTGTTCTGATGAAACCAAGATTGAACTCTTTGGCCAGAGCGTCATGTCTGGAGGAAACCTGGCACCATCCCTACGGTGAAGCATGGTGGTGTCAGCATCATGCTGTGAGGATGGTTTTCAGCGGCAGGGACTGGGAGACTAGTCAGGATCGAGGGAAAGATGAACGGAGCAAAGTAGAGAGATCCTTGATGAAAACCTGCTCTAGCGCGCTCAGGACCTCAGACTGGGGGCGAAGGTTCGCCTTCCAACAGGACAACAACCCTAAGCACACAGCCAAGTCAATGCAGGAGTGGCTTCAGGACAAGTCTCTGAACGTCCTTGAGTGGCCCAGCCAGAGCCTGGACTTGAACATCTCTGGAGAGACCTGCCATTAGCTGTGCAGCGACGCTACCCATCCAACCTGACAGAGCTTGAGAGGATCTGCAGAGAAGAATGGGAGAACTCCCCAAATACAGATGTGCCAAGCTTGTAGCGTCATTTCATAAATAAATTTGCTGAGATTTCTGAAAACCAGTTTTTGCTTTGTTATTATGGGGTATTGTGTGCAGATTGATGAGGGAAAAAAACAATTTAATCAATTTTAGAATAAGGCTGTAACCTAACAAAATGTGGAAAAAGTCAAGGGGTCTGAATACTTCCCGAAAGCACTGTAGATTTATCAATCTAGCTAATGTATTTTGAGTTCCTCAGGTGGTGAATTAGCCTTAAAGCTGCAATATGTAACGTTGTGAGTTATAGATATGTAATTCTATAAATCAAGTCTTAAGAAGCAGTATATCTCTTCTATGTGCGGTATTTCTATGCTTCCCATTCTTAAGTTTAGTTTTGGCGTCTTTTACTTTCGATTTTGTATACCAGCTTCAAACAGCTGAAAATACAATATTTGGGGTTATTGAAAATATATTTCACAGCGGTTTAGATGGTACAATGATTCTCTACACTTGTTTTCTCTCAAACTGAAATTAGGCAAACTATTAGAATTTTAGCAATCAGGAAATTGAGCCATTTCTGCATATTGCACCTTTAAACTATACTAATCAAATATATAAATGCAACATATAAAGTGTTGGTCCCAACACGCACAAAAAAATTCTCTCTATATTTTTGGCCAAAAAGTTGTTTACATCTGCAGATACAAGATGGAATCCAAGATGGCAGCATGTCAAGTCGTTTGTGACTAGTAGTTTTTAACCTATTAATTTATGGTGGAGCAAATCTACACTTTCCTTGTTGTGTAGTGCAAACTATTTCGTTTTGCTGGTGTATAGATCGCGGGTCACCAGAGAAAATGACCATATTCGTGGTATTGCTTTGCGCACTGACTGTACTGAACTCTTGAGAAAACGAACATTGTCGCTGGGTGAGTACAGTCGTGGTCAAACGTTTTGATAATGACACAAGTATTGGTCTTCACAAAGTTTGCTGCTTCAGTGTTATGAGATATTTTTGTCAGATGTTACTATGGTATACTGAAGTATAATTACAAGCATTCCATAAGTGTCAAAGGCTTTTATTGACAATTACATTACGTTTATGGAAAGAGTCAATATTTGCAGTGTTGACCCTTCTTTTTCAAGACCTCTGCAATCCGCCCTGGCATGCTGTTAATTAACTTCTGGACCTCATCCTGACTGATGGCAGCCCATTCTTGCATAATCAATGCTTGGAGTTTGTCCGAATTTGTGGGTTTTTGTTTGTCCACCCGCCTCTTGAGGATCGACCACAAGTTCTCAATGGGATTAAGGTCTGGGGAGTTTCCTGGCCATTTAGATGTTTTGTTCCCGGAGCCACTTAGTTATCAGTTTTGCCTTATGGCAAGGTGCTCCATCATGCTGTAAAAGGCATTGTTCGTCACCAAACTGTTCTTGGATGGTTGGGAGAAGTTGCTCTCAGAGGATGTGTGGGTACCATTCTTTATTCATGGCTGTGTTCTTAGGCAAAATTGTGAGTGAGCCCACTCCCTTGGCTGAGATGCAACCCCACACATGAATGGTCTCAGGATGCTTTACTGTTGGCATGACACAGGACTGATGGTAGCGCTCACCTTGTCTTCTCCGGACAAGGTGTTTTCTGGATGCCCCAAACAATCGGAAAGGGTATTCAGAGAAAATTACTTTACCCCAGTCCTCAGCAGTCCAATCCCTGTACCTTTTGCAGAATATCAGTCTGTCCCTGATGTTTTTCCTGGAGAGAAGTGGCTTCTTTGCTGCCCTTCTTGACACCAGGCCATCCTCCAAAAGTCTTTGCGTCACTGTGCTTGCAGATGCACTCACACCTGCCTGCTGCCATTCCTGAGCAAGCTCTGCACTGGTCCTGGCGCTTGCTGGACTTTCTTGGGTACCCTGATGCCTTCTTCACAACAATTGAACCTCTCTCCTTGAAGTTCTTGATGATCCGATAAATGGTTGATTTAGGTGCAATCTTACTAGCAGCAATACAGTGGGGGGGAAAAGTATTTAGTCAGCCACCAATTGTGCAAGTTCTCCCACTTAAAAAGATGAGAGGCCTGTAATTGTCATCATAGGTACACGTCAACTATGACAGACAAAATGAGGAAAAAAAATCCAGAAAATCACATTGTAGGATTTTTAATGAATGTATTTGCAAATTATGGTGGAAAATAAGTATTTGGTCAATAACAAAAGTTTCTCAATACTTTGTTATATACCCTTTGTTGGCAACGACACAGGTAAAACGTTTTCTGTAAGTCTTCACAAGGTTTTCACACACTGTTGTTGGTATTTTGGCCCATTCCTCCATGCAGATCTCCTCTAGAGCAGTGATGTTTTGGGGCAGATTTTCTATGGGGTTGAGATCTGGAGACTGGCTAGGCCACTCCAGGACCTTGAAATGCTTCTTACGAAGCCACTCCTTCGTTGCCCGGGCGGTGTGTTTGGGATCATTGTCATGCTGAAAGACCCTGCCACGTTTCATCTTCAATACCCTTGCTGATGGAAGGAGGTTTTCACTCAAAATCTCACGATACATGGCCCCATTCATTCTTTCCTTTACACGGATCAGTCGTCCTGGTCCCTTTGCAGAAAAACAGCCCCAAAGCATGATGTTTCCACCCCCATGCTTCACAGTAGGTATGGTGTTCTTTGGATGCAACTCAGCATTCTTTGTCCTCCA